TAAAAAAAAAAAAAATTCAATTCCGTTAATATTCACACGTTTTTAATGAAGTTTCCTTAAAGGTTAAGGTAAGATGCATCATGGAACGAAAAGGCGAGAGCTGGGAAATGGTAAAAGAGTAGAAAGCTGTTCGGATGAAAAACACGGGGAAGCACTACACAGGGAAAATATTGAAAAACGTAGCGAAAATAAACACCGACCACGCACAATGGACGATGAAACAAAAAACAGAAAAAATAGGGGACGCGAGAGGTTATAAAACAGAAAATTGTAAAATAAATGCTCCGGAATGACCCGGGTATTAAAAAACAGCCAGAACTGGAACAAAAAATTGGAACTGGAAAATATTGAAATTATCCAATGAGATTTTAAAAAATCAATACCAGGGAAATTATAAAATTCGATTCAAATAAATGAGCGAAACAGGAAACTATTCAGTTTCCTATTCTATAAAATTTGTTAAAATAAAAATGACAAAAGGACAAGAGGTTAGAAATCCGCGACTGTCCAAACCAGCTTACACAGCTAGACAAAAATTTACGTCAAAAAACTGTCCATTCTGTGGCAGTCGACTTTTTCCATCGACCAATCATCGTTGTCTACACCAGTGGCTACATTTCAGTCAAAAGCGTTCTTTGAGACCGACCACGTGGTGCAATAAAACCTTTCAGGACTGTTGAGTGGTAGTCGCGATCTAATAACCAGACGCGTTTCCCAGTTTTTTTTTTTTTTTTTTTCGAAACACCGTCCAGCTTCGACAGTTTCAAACGTTTCGTCGATCAAAGCTTGTTTTCATGCATCATTTCCCCTCCGGTTCATTGAATCAAAAGCAAGTAGCCATAGACGAGTTGAGAGTCAGCTGGCTCGTTAAATAGCGCCCTCTTTGTTGGACATCTACGAAATTAAACGCGTGCGTTTTACAAGTGACTTTTTTTTTAAGCATAATCGAGTACTGTGTCCCTGGTACGAGTTTCAGATTTTCCCTCGTTTCATTTTCCCTCGCGATATACCAGACTATGTTTCATTATTCTTCGTTTTTTTTTTTTTTTTATCTCTCGTTGCTTTTTATTTTCCGTCGGCTCGATATATCCGGCTGGCTTTGTCCTTTCGAAGTGTCCAACCTACCTCTGCCGTTGGCGTTCATCGATTTATGAATTCGTCCGCAACACTCGGGCGAAGATGTTTTTTCGCGAGGCGCGATACCGTGGCGTAATGTATGGGGAGGGCGACACTGTCGCGGCGGAGATAAATGTTAGAAAATGGCGGAATGATGGCGGGGAAATGCGAAGGGCACTGCGAGTGATTGGTTTATGTAGGCGCGAATCATTGGGCGCTACTATTTTGAAGGTATAAAGCCTGAAGCATATTTCTTTATGAAATGGATGGGTGATATTTTAAATATCACTGTAATAAGAATGTAACGTGAGTTTTAACTGAAATGGAGCAACTAGAAACATAACCAAAATATTCATCTGATGTAACAAGAAAATTCAGTAAGAAAATTGTTTATCAAGATTGAGAACAACATACTGAGGAAACGAACATTAAAATTTATTGAATTCGTAAAATTTACTTCCAAACATTTTCACCGGGAAGCAATCATCTTTTCCTTCAACCCGTAGGAAACGGTCTCAGAAGTGGAAAGAACGACACTCACGAGGGAAAACAACACGTTTATCCGTTTTATCTCGAGACGCGGGAACACCGGAAGTGGATGTAGCTCGTGTAACAATGTAGAAAACGGGGCTGTTCAAGGAATAGATTCACCGAGCCGTTTTGAGTCCGCGGCCACGTCGAATCGAACGAAAGTTTTATGCAGTACACGATGCAGTTCGGTTCGATATATAGCGGTGATAAGAACATTACTCCGTGATAAGAACACCCTTTCCTGTTGCACCAGCCGGGAACAAGCACGTTTCCGATCGAGTCAGTGGTATCGATATCTCGTTCTGGCAATGTTTATATGTATAGTGGTGCTTTTAATTCAATAAGCGAGTTTTCTAGTTTTTGGCGACGGTTCCAGTTGGAAAGATACGTTAACAATTTACTGACCAACTTTTCGAAGAATTAAGAATAATAGAGTCTTAACTTAGAATTTGATTCCACCGGGTCATCACAAAAGTTGGAGAAATAGTTTCTTCATAATCTTCAGGAACAAAGGAATTTATTCCATTAAGTTTTATAACAAAGATATACTCGTGCAACGTTACAATTATTCATAAGCAATACCAAAGTAACACGCAAACGCACAAAGTTGCAGCCGTGGGATTCTGTGCCCATAGAAACGGAGCTCCTTTGTAACCCTCTTGCAAGGGAATTCTATTCACTCAGGGACGGAACAGCAATCATAAATATCGTGGGGGTATATCGATCGTCAACGTACAATAGCCACCAGAATATTTATCAATTCACAATCGTTGCACTGCACTGTGTTGCGCCGCACAATCGTTACACCACCGCGAGCTTTTAGAGCTGTTCCTCACGATTGTGTGGCTAATAACAATTAAACGTGGACGAAAGAGGTTAATCGTTACAGGGGTTTCGATTTGTAATACAAGCATTGGCGGATAAAAATCCTCTGTGTATGTGTGGGGAGCATCGATTCCCTGTTGTCGTGTGGTTTTTGCTGTCTGATCAATGGGAACTCCGTGTTTTCTGTCGACCGAACCAATTGGTGGATTAAACGGTCTGATAATTGGTTGCTCCATTGATAATTCAATGTCGTTTTTAACGGTCTTTGGGACTTTGAAAGCTTTGGATTCTGGATTTTTACATTGGAATTTGAAGCCTTTAGGAATAATTCTAAATTTTGGAAAACCCTGAGAAGCTCTACGTTTTTAGGTAATTTTGGACCTTAAAAATATCCAAATTTTGGAATTTGGAACCCAAAACATTGAACCTCTTAATCCCTAGAACTTTCAAAATCATTGAAGCTTTAAAAAAGCGGTCACCCATCTTAACGCGATCCCTGCTCATTGTTGCTTCACCCCACTGACCACGTAACGGGCGTGGTCTTACTTGCACCCACACCGCCCACCCACTTTAATTTTTAAATATATGAATATTTAGAACAATAAAAATCTATCTGTATCTTTACGTCTGAATAGTAGCTTTTAAGCTTTAATTTTTTTATTAGCAGCGAAATTTCTTGAAAAGCATATACGATCTGTGTCTCCGTATATCGGGATTCATCCCCTACTGAACGGAATAACGGAGGTGGAAGTAGATCAGGAGGGTTGAATAGTCGGTAGAGCAGTGAATGGAGGGCTATAGAGCAGTGTGTTTCGACGGAAAATCTTGCGACTGGCATTTAAATCTGTGAAACAGGGTTAAGAGGGATGCGGTTAAGCAAACTGAATGCTCGTTATGAAACATTCTTTGTGTTTTTGTTCACCGGTAATAGCTGTGTGATTATTCAAACAAATGAGCCACTTTTCAAAATTAAGTTCTGGCACATTTCTTCTTTCAAAAGTGATGAAAATTTCGTTAGCAATATAATTTTGTTTTCCATGTGTAATTATCTACTTAAATTTATTTTTATTTTATTCTGGAAGAATAAGAACGGAGTAAATCTTTTCGAGAGGAGGTTCAATTTCATGAAAATGAGATGAAAATCGAAGGGGCTGTTTTGTTGAACTTCCAGCCGGTTTCGTTGCAATTTAAATTGACGAAAAACCTTTCCCCGACAGTTTCGAAGTTGCACGGTACCCCCGACTCCAATTTTTTTTTTGTCGTCAAGTTTGTCGATTCGACGTTTAATTAATTCCTCCATCGACTAATCGCAGTAATGATGTTTGTGTCCTGTATAATCGTTCCTTCCAGCTGGAATTAATTACGTGTATTGTAACCAAATTAATTATGTCGTATAATAAGCAACAATTTACGGGATGAATAAATCATTGTTGATTTTGAAATAAAGAAGATCATCAATTTGCATGCGGAGTGTATTCCTCTGTGTTTCGTCAAATGAATATTCTGTCCGCTGTTGTAATGATAATATTAACATCCGTTTACATAAAACGATACACTGCTGAAACGTAATGACCATTTTCGTGTTACAAAGTTTCATTAACTTGACAAATCATTTTCTGTCATCTTTCGAATAAAAATTACACGTACGATCTAAATTTATTTATTTACTGATTTAATATTGTTTTAATACCGAGAATGTTAATAAGCTTTGCATAAAGAAATATCACATTCAGATGGTTTTTTCTGCATGCATATCGCATACCCGTTACCTATCACTTGCTCGGGTCCAAAAGGAAAGTCTTTTCTCTCTTATTTCGCGAATCTTCCAGGCTGATCTTCTCGCGCTTTAATATACCCGCGATTACGCGCCAGCTCGCGATTTTATGAGAAGCTTCGTGCAAGAGTTTCTTCTCTCGCCTTCCATCCTCGTGAGAAAGGAGCGAGGACAGGTATTCTTTTATATCCTGCAGCGGCAGCCATCGGCGAATTCATATGTTCCCGACGGATAGAGGAAAGAAAATGGCGGCGAGGAAATTGCACGCTATCGAAGAACACGTTTTTAATGATTTTGTAAAATCTTCAAATTGTTCAATTTACGTTAAATAGATAAATACTCTAATAAGTATATTCTGTCTAATTCTTTGAAAGAAAAGTTTCATTTGTGTTGCATTTAAAACAGACCTGTACATTTACATTTAAGACACGACCTTAGTTTTTCACGAACTTAATGAAACTTGATTACGACTCCATTAATGGAGCTGTTTTTCAGAACTAATTTCTCCGAACGAAGATACTGGAGGTAACTTCCGGTTGCTCGAGGAATTCTCATCATTAAGTCTTTCATCGCTAGGAAAAAACGAAGGAAACACGACTGCTGAGAAACCGGGAAGAGATTAGTCCTCGCCCTCGAGGAAATGTCTGACCACTAACCGACCTCTACTACTGAACGTTCCTTTTCTCACAAGTACCACTTTGATACTTCGAATTAATTTAATAAACAAATTCCTCAATGGAATAAAAGAACTCACCAATCGAGGGTAGCTTTGGCCACGTACTGGACCTGCATCTCTTTGTCAGGATTGAAGGGATGATGATAATGACGATCGTGAATGGGAACCACGGAATGACACACCAGACGTGTCTCCTTTCGATCAAGGATCGTCAAGTTGTAAGGCGATGCCTGCAGTCGCGACGTTATTGGATCCAGGGCCACCCATGACTTGTTTGCCACCACCCAGGATGGATAAGTGCAACGATTCGGTGAATTTTCTGAAACAGAAATGGTACCTATTAGATATACTAACGGTTCTGAAATGGCACAATGGCATTATACAGTATCGAGCATGGTCGGCTTCCCTAGGAAAAATGGGAGTGCCCCCCACCCCAAGACCCCCATCATTCCGTGGGAGAATGACGATGGAGGGAGAAGGCCTCGTCTACGCATGCCTGTGCCCCCCACCCCAAGACCCCCATCATTCCGTAGGAGAATGACGATGGAGGGAGAAGGCCTCGTCTACGCATGCCTGTGCCCCCCACCACATGCGTGTAAACGTTAACGCGGGAGACGTACGAAATTATTCGTCCTTTTCAATCATGTATTAATAAATATTATAATATTTAATAATTGAAAATTATATTATTATGTTTCTAAATTACTTTTAATAGAATTATAGGCAGAGTTAGAATTTAAAAAATTCCTGCTTTCCCTATATCGCAATTTTTCTGATAGAATATAAAAATTCACATAACTCCACACATGATTGTTAGAAATGTCTGTGATAAAACGAGGATGCATTGAATGGTACCATAAAAAACTATAAATTCGGTTCGATAACTTTTGATCCCTGACGGAAGTTAAATACGATTAGATGTCGAAGAAGGGAGTATTCGTGAGTCGAGGCTTTATTCCCCTCTCGTAATAATATAACTTCGTCGCGAAGGCGGTTATTCCAAGCTTCGCGAGTGCATAATGCAAGCAGAAACTCATTCCAGACTCTTCGAGTTCGCCAAGTCCCGTCAGCTGATAACCGAAGTACGCGTAAACTTGTCCCGTTTATTTTTTCTCCCCGACGGATATAAATTTAATCGTACGACTGTCGTTGCCATTTTCTATCCGTTACGACGAATCCTATGGATTACACGATATTTTTCTCTCTTTCCCTTCGAGTCTCGGCGTCTAATTAAGACAGTTCCACCGTGACGAAGGATCGAGTTACATTGAAATTCTTGTTCGAGGAATCGTTGGCGTGCTAAACGTATAACAGGCTTACGTTTATTCGCATTAAGGGAGCTTTCGAAGTTCTGCAGTTGTTTAAAGTTTCCCGGTTGTTTTAATGCGAACTGAAGATGATTAACGACATGCGTTTAAATAGTTAAAAGTTTTCTGGAGCTTTTTAGTTTTTCTCGGAATTCGAGTAAGAAATTGTTACTATGGAAATGATAAGAATTAGACTTTTGCCTTTAATGGAATATTGTAGAAATGAACAAGAATTAAAAACGTTTCCCTATATTATTGCTTAACAATTCCCTGATTTCAATCAATAAATACAAATATATTTTGCCTAGCAATATAAAACAAATAATTACATGCAATCTGTAGTGATAGAGGAACAAAATTATAAATTGAAATGTTACAGACAGAAAATAATAAAAACGAAATCAGATTAAATTGTTGTTAGGTTGTAACGCGGACAGACATTCCCAGATCGTGTTGTCGGATCGAATTATCGACCGCCTTTTAGCCGACACGTTCAGCACACTGCATACTTCGACGCCTGTGCATTTTTAACGGTCCATTAATTCATGCACAATGATTGATGGCTGTGAGCAGTCGACCATCGACACGATAACTGTTTACAGGCGACGGGCATCGTGCACGTTCGTGTACGATTATTGCATTCCCTCCATTCTGCTGTCTAACACGTTGCTTTTTTTTCTAACAAACGATGTTCGAAATTCAAATTGTTGTATTTAAATTTTTTCTTATGTTTTTAAGACTCAATTTACATTCCCGGAAATCAACGAGTGATATTGTTTCTTAGACGGATCAGAATCAGATCGGAATGTTGAAGGAGACATCAGCGTGAGTAATGTTCCCTTCACTCTACCGAGTCACGAAAAAGCCTGGATAGGGATTCCAGAGCTAATCTGCCTTCTGGAAAGTTTAAATGGAAACGCAAGCTAACGCCAGGAAACGAGGTTAACGAAACACTCGAGTCCAATGGTGCGATAGTGGCGTTGGAAAAATCCTTAAGCTGCTTAAACAATGGCCATGTGCACTTAAAATTTTCTGAGTTTTTAATTCCTTTACCTGGGTCCTAGCCCCTAAAATCCTTAACATTAGGTGTAGAAAGCATCCGAAGATTGCTATTAATGTTGCACCACTTGCGATCACAATCATCATTCTGATGAACGCCAAGGGTTTATTGATCCGTAACTGAGAAAACATCACGAATGTCTGGCTAACATGTCGCTGGAAATAAATCTCCTAGTGTGCTTGCAACAGCATTGCGCAATCAGTCATGTATTCCGGATATCCAACTGAATGCGGTTTACCACAAAGCCAGCAACAAGATCATCTCCATCTGATACCAGCGGTCTATTCGTATCTACGCTTGCAGGTCTATAGGATTCTAGGTATGAGACAAATGCATTTGAACGAAATCGCCAACAGTGGAACGAAATGGACATTTGATAGTGATGATCAATTAAGCAGCTAATTGATGACATGGAGAAACAATGGACTGATACAGTCTAGCTGTATGATGCACATGAGTTCACAGTAAGGGTGTAATTACTGCTGCCTCTGATCCGTGGATCCTTGATTATGATCACTTGTACCTGGGATCTGGATTCTGGATCCTAAACAAGGTCTAAATCAAACCTTCCAAATGGTAAGGGGTACTGATTCTGAACTTTGGATTTCATAATTTGGGTCTCGCACTTTGGGCCTTGGGCCTTGGGCCTGCGAGTACCGCAGACTCTGGACTCTGCATCCTGGACTCTGATCCCCAGACCCCCGGATTCTGAACTCCAGACCCTGGAACTTTGGACCCTGGATCCTGGACCCTATATCCTGGGCCTTGGTACACTGGACACTTGGGTCCTTGGTACCCTGGACCCTATATTCTAAACCTTGGCACCCTGGACACTTGGGTCCTTGGTACCCTGGACCCTATATCCTAGGCCTTGGCACCCTGGACACTTGGGTCCTTGGTACCCTGAACCCTATATCCTAAGCCTTGGCACCCTGGACACTTGGGTCCTTGGTACCCTGGACCCTATATCCTAGGACTTGGCACCCTGGACACTTGGGTCCTTGGTACCCTGGACCCCCTTATCTTGGCTCCCTGAACCCCAGACCCAGGCACCCTGAATCCTTTTACATAGAATCCACAGAATCCTTCTACACAGATGCAGCTGTTAACGTTCCACCAAGAAGCCAGCTAAAATTCCATGATAGGCTGATCGGAAGGGTGGTCAAAGAAATTTACGGGGAGTTTCGACGAAATCAATTCCAAGAATGCCTGGTGTGGCTCACAGAGGCCTGGTCATCACCTCAATTTGGTTAACCGTGGCTGCAGCGCCAGAATCATCGCAATCTGATAAGGTTATATGCAGGTATGCGATACCATGGAATATTCCAAGTACCCGACGTCGGTCTCGATAGCATGCGCTGCAAGAATTCGATCTGCTGGTCCATGGACACCGTCATAGTTTACATGCTCTCGTTCTTCGAGCCTGTCCCTATCACCTCTCGCGGTTTTCATCGTCCCGGTCAACTATACAGCGTGATTCCGAGCAATTTAACACCTTGTGCAACTAACAATGAAATTACACAAAAGTATAAACAAACTGGCGGTATCGTCCGTTCTATAGCAACAATCATTTTCACGTTCTTCCTATGATCGTTGGAAAAGTTTTGACGAGCGTGTTAAGATTGAGAAATAAAATCTTTTAGTACACTTCATGAAATATCGTTCGAGATTTTATATTTCAGACTGTTTGCCTCGAACGGTTGAAGAAAATACGACAGTCGGAAGAATAAAGATTCAAAAAGTACTCACTCTGTTTCATTTTAAAGGTCTTGGCAGCCTCCTTGACGCTAATCAATCCTGTGCAAGAGGCGTCAGCGCTCTGCGCCAAATTCCACGAGTTGTTCGAAGTTTGTTCGTAAATAAAGCATCTGTAGCTGTCCTCGTCGTTGGTCTTTCGCGCGCTGTGCAGCCGTGCTACTAAATTGTGCGTGCTGCCCTCTTTCCACGTGGCAAGACATTCTAGCTCCACATCTCAAATAAGGAACAGTTAGTTCAAGTTAGTTTTACAATGTAACAATTAATATCATAATAAAAATAAACGAATCAACAAATCTCCCTGTCGGTATCATCGGCGTCTAATTACAGGCAGGTTCATTACGATTCCAATTACGGTCGAAGGGTAAATCGTCCGACCGAGCCTTGCGGAAAATTATGGACGGAAATATTCTAACCGTTAATAAACCGTGGCTCGTCGGTTAGAATGAATTACACGCGGATTTTCGTTCCGGCCACGCTTGTCCACCGTAACGATATCGGTGTAGTAATTACGGAAAATCGTTTCGACAAGCCATAACAACGAGCGGAGGGATCGATAACATCGTTAATCATTCATCGAATCACCGGAAGCTTTATTGACCGTCGCAGATTCTTCGCGTTGGGTTAATTAACGACGATACCCAATGACTAAACGATATTTCCAACAATCATTTGGTTGTAATACACGAAGTCATAAAGTACCCACCAACGCTTTCAGAAGACAGAACGTTGGCGCAGGCCTGATAACGAAGAAGCAATCGCGATTCTTGGGTGCAGGTTTCAGCAGTGGACAGTGGTGAATTACATTCCCCCTCGCCGTGGCTGTAGGTGAATTCCAAGGGTCCTTTGAAGGGACAGGGCATCGGGGCTGCGCCCGTGCGAAACAGTGAAATAAGAATCGCGTCGCTGGTCAGCTCGCTGCACATCGAGGGCAGACTCGGCTTTGGCGACTCGATCGTGCAATAAGCTGAAAGAAAAATTCCAATACAGATTAGATCAATTAAATTTGACAGAAATTAATATCAAAATAAGGTACTCACTCTCTTTATATTGAAGAACATTTGGATGCTTCATGTGCATCACGATGCATCGATAGCACTTGACCTCTCTGAAGCAAAAAAGGAAACATTGTTATTAAAATTAAATTACATTAATGACAGTTTTCGAAGGAATCCAAATCAAGTGTTTTCAAAGGTATCCACGAACAACCTTCTTCATCCCCCAATTATTAAGCCAGTAGCCTAAGTATCGCTATCATCCAGGATGATCCCCAACCGAGAAGTATGCCTCGTTGACGGGCAGAAACAAAGGTAAACTTCGTCTTCAGGCACCAAGAAGGGTGTAACCAAGACTGAGACATCCAATGAGGGTGAGGAGGGTGGTAAGGAAGAGGAGGCGACCATGGGAAAAGGTAGAAATTGCAGAGCCGAGCTAAGTAAGCAAGGTGCCAACTAGTAGGGACACAAGACAAGCTCCAAAAGTTTTAAGTAGCTACGCGATACTACAATACTTGGACGCAACTCCGCCCCACGTTGTTCCCCTCTCCTTTTCACCATCCAATGCTAGTGTCGCTATTGCGTCTCTCAATTTCTCTTATCAATCTATCTATGTTTTCATGAATTGTAAAATTAAAAATAAAGTTTCTTCCTTTGTACGAATTGAAATTTACTGGAAAAATTTCTCTTTCTTCTCGTTATCGACAGTAACTCATCATTTGAATACGCTGAAACGCTTTCAAAGCGCAAGATCGATGCCAGAAAAGTACAAAAGCGGACTCGAAAGACAAATATATCGGTGAAATATATGTGGGGGGCCGAGGCATCAACGAATTGAGACGTTACAGAACGCAAATGCTACGTATCCGTGTATGTTTCGAACGGTTCATGGTTCATAAAAGAAACACAGAGAGATGTATTTGCTAGTCTGTGACATTTATAAATCGCTCGTTTCCAACAACGTCTCCAGCGGGTTTATCGTACGGCTCTTCCGGTTTCGAGATACCCGCCACCCTTGATGCTTTTCGTGGAAGACGTGCATCGTTCCTGGCTCTCAGAGATACGGCAATAAAACGTTATTTTAATGGAGGATAGAACGTTGTATCGAGAGAACTATGGAACACCATCCTCAGAATCTTTTCAGATTCTCATCGCGCATGCGAAACGAAGGTAGTTTTATTTTATAGGTTAGAATCCCAGTTTATAGGTTAGAATCAATCAGAAACTGATTCGAAGCTCGAGGAAACGATTCTTAATATTTCTTCGCAATTCATTCTGGATGAATATTATTACAATTTCACAAGCTGCGTTAAAAGTCAAAACGACAATCGTTTTACGACGTTCTTCGTGCTCTTCTGGCGCCAGTTAATTAGCCGTAATTGGCTGGAAGGAATTAACGATTCCGACGGAAGGTTACGGGGAAATATCGATAATTGCCTATGATGCAGCTGCACAGATGATTGGACGATGGCACCTGACCAGCTACAACCAGGTCGACCGTGTAAAGTGTAGATACACTGAATTTTCTGTCGGACGTTTATACAATTATTTTCCTCCCAGATTATTCCTCCTTCAAAATCCTGTTAAATATTTATCAGTTTCTTTATAATAGGACATCCAGTATACAACGATCGATCTTCTTCAACAAGAAATCATTAAACCCGATAGAAATTCAATTGTACACAATTCTAAAGTGGGTACCAATGTCCGAGTTATAGGAAAGTTCAATTTTATAGTATGGAATATTGTTTGCAACGGGTATCTCGTAGATATAGATCGTACTTCCGGATTATTGCCGGGACGCTGCGAAGGAGCGTTGCTTTATCGTTTCTCGATGATCCTGAGAGCATCACGGCGATATCCTTTGAGCTTCACCCTTGTCGTCTCGAGACGATCCTGTATCGTTCAGAGCCGACCTTTACGAGCTCTGAGATGCTTTTCCAACGATAATTGCCATCGCCTGCTCTTTATTTGTTTATTTGCCGCGATTGAAAAATGCGAATCTAACGACGTTAGGATGCGAATAGGTTGTAAAATAAAATGGAAATGATAGTTTTATAATAGGTAATATTTAGCAAACAAAACGGGAGGATGGAACAGGATAAACAATCGTCGATAAATTAAAGAACCGCCAACGCAGCCGGGTCAACGAACGTTTTTCGATGCAATCGCATAAATAAATCACGAGGATCGCGCTGAGACAGCTCATTCTCTGTCCTCGCGTTGCAACCTACGAGTAATGACAACACCGTTATCGACAGATTGATAACTGCGAGCAAGGGAAGCTACACTGCAAAAATTTCCCGATGAAAAATGTCCTACAACTCTTTTTCCCGAACAATTCGTACCGTAGAACGTTTGTTTCATTTTTTTATTTCGTCATTCTATAGCTCATTTTGTCACTTCATTTTACTGCTATTTATGATTCTTTAGAATTTCATAGTACTTGCAAGCAAAACAATTTTATTCAAAATGTAACTCCAGTCTGGAGTGAAAAATTAAATTATAATTATTAATAATATACTTTAAAAAGAATGTAGGACGATGATTTTCATAAATAATCGACTCTCTAATTAAGTCGAATAATAATGTATTGAATAAATCTCTGTCAGCATGTATGAAACTTTCAAAAAATGATTCATTTCATCTGCAACGCGACAGGACAGTGGCTGCAACAGTTTTAAAACAAATGGCATTTGTGAACGTCCGTTCAGGAGATGGAAAAAAAAAAAACTATTGCAATGCTGCACATACTGCATGCTTTAAATTTTTCTTCGTACAGCTGGGATTACACGAGCTCGTCTGTTAAATTAATCAGCATAAAAGATGCACGGGATGAAAATTGTTCCATGAATCAACATTTCGAGGATGATTTAAGTCAAGCGCCACGTTGTGTCCTGGGCGTGCTTGTATTTATAATTTATGAAATAAAAATTCAATTTTCTACCTACAACATAGAATTGTTCATTTTTGTTATTCTATTGTTAGGGAAAATTCAAAAGATGTACGCTTCGAATGGCGGAGGCTGGGTCAATCGTGACCCAAACATAAAAATTGTATACATATAATTTTTAAAGGAACAGTGTAAAATTTAGAAGATTAGAATAATATGAAATACAAAATAAAATTAAAATTATGGCTCTCTTCATGGTCCGCCATCCGAGAATTAAAAATTAGTGTTTACATTGCAGTCCGTAAAAATGTAGGTAATTTTATTAATTTATTACTCCCATTATAAATATGGCAAGTATTATGAAATATAAAAATGATCCCAAACATGGCAACAAATTATTAATATAAATAGCACTTACAGTAACAATTTATATTGAAAATAATTGCAGCAGGAAAAATATGGAGATCGTGAATTTAGTTGCCATCCTGGGTGCAGGTATATCAAATCGAGTAGACGTATTTACTTCGCCATTAAGAGAAATCGGTCGCGTCAAGTCAAGTATTCGCATTTTAACGAGATTCTTCGCTAAAGTCGCCTCTCGTCACGGTCGTTCAATAATTCCGATGCCTCGTCGAAGCACGTGGGTTAATAACGTCTCACCATAGAACTATGGGTGGGATGGGGGATGAAAAGAGAAGTGGAACTCCTCCCTTACATCCCATGCCTCCACTCTAACCTTCTATACCATGGTAATTGTTAAATTGTTAAGAGAATTAAATACCTCCCTAATTGACTACCCTTTAAATCATACCATTGTCTTTTTTCTTAAATTAAATATTTACAAAAACACAGATGAATTTATATTAATATTCCTTGTTTATAAATTCGAATAAAAAAGTGTGAAGAATTAAAAGCTAATCTTCCAGGGTTGGTGCCATTCTACGTTACAACTAAAAAAGGGCCATTGTAGATCGTAAACTCCCCTTTTATCAGCACCCCATTCTCGTGAACACCTTTTTACGTGACCAGAGCCATCGCACAGGGATCAGAAACATCGAAATCGCCGGTTAAAACACGTTGGCTCGCGATCGTGCACGATAATTTGTCGCGTCGCGACGCCCTCGTGGGCGTCGTTAGCAGGGACCACGGGTGCGTATTTACGCAGCCTAGGAATCAATAAACCATGTCCGAGAACGAGACGCCCGGGGTCTACCATTCGACCAAGGGTGGCTGAGCGGACGCAAGGGGTCAAACTCACCCTCTTACACGCCATTCGGCTATTAGACAATACAAACAGGGCTATGATGGTGTCTGCTTGACAACTTGTCGAGCAAGTTCCTTTTTTTCTTCCCTTTCTTCCAGGTTCTGGCTAGACGTTTATCAACGCGTCAGCATCGTGGGAAGAAGTTCCACGGGGCTGGCTCGATTTGGCTCATCGAATATTTATGGGATTTTGAGAATGTGGTCGAGGATGTTTGGACACGTAATGCGGAAAGTGATTAGGGGATCGAATTTTGCTGATGGCTGATGTATACGAGGAGTTTGATGTTAGGGGTGAAAGAACTAAATATTCTATGGTTTTGATGGGTATTATACGGGGTGATTCGATAACTATTACTGCCATTAAAAGCAGTAGAACAGATAATAAACATTAAACATTATTGGAAACAAAAGTTTTTATAAAAATTTACTGACAGTGCAAACGTATGGAAAAATGGGTAGAATTGAAATGAAATGAAATGAAGCAATTTCCATTTGTTCATATTTTAAACGTAAATTTAAATTTATATGACTGAAATTCAAACAAGACATTGAATATCATATGTGGAGTATAAAATATACATTTTCGTTGACGTTTATTTGTTGAAAATGTCCTTTATGCATATTGGTATTGTTATGAATAATTATTTCGTTATATTATTTCGAAGAGATACAATATCAAAATACAGATAAATGTAACAATCTGTTACGTATTATTCAATTTTAGTTAATATTAATTGATTAATTATGGTATACCTTGTTTATTATATCCGTAGTTAACAATCGCAATAAATTTTCAACGGTTGATTAGCTGCATCCGCCACACGAAAGTATCAATAGAATACAAATTCAATCAGTTAAAATTATTGCACGTTAGAAATAAAAAAAATAAAAAATTGTTTAATTTAGGGACACCAAGTATATAAGGTTTGGGAACTTCAATGGCAAATATCTCGACGA